AGAAAAACTTCTTTATTACTATTTTTACTATTTTATCTTACATTTTTTAAAATATATAAATGATACAATATTTAGACTATATTTTAATAAAGTTTTTTTTTTTTTTTGCCACGATACTTGTTTATATAGCAATGAAGTAGTAAAATCGGAATCACTTTACTCTCTTAAATAGGTTTTTTTTTCCTAGATAAATTATGTACTTGTTAAGAATTTAATCCTCAACTACAGTATTAATACAATAGAGATTCACGCAATACCTGTAGTTCTGTATGACCTGTATGCTCACTGATATGAAAGTCTAAAATGTGTAATGCACGTACTGTAATATTATTACCTCATTTATTTAAGCTATGTTTGATAATTTTTTGTCATCATTATTTATATACAGTATATGAAAGAATCAAATCCTCGTGCTTTCTTTACGCATTTTACAATATGGATTTTGCTTTTGAAAAAGAAAAATTAAATATCGCTGGACGTGACAGTCAGGAAAGCCGAAAGATACTTATCACCGGCGGGGCGGGCTTTATTGTATGTGCTATGTAGATTTAGATGTTTGTTTTAAGAACGATTAACTGCTGCGAATTAAATTTGTATTATTTACAATATAGGGAAGTCATGTGGCAAAGTATCTCTACGATCGTGGAAACTATGTTCGTGTCATCGACATCTTACCAAATACAACCGGCCCATTTGGAGACCCAAAAAATTATTGCTCTGAATTTTTAACTGGAGATTTAAGAGATTTATCTGCGTGCCGTTATGCTGTAAGAGACGTACAATGGGTCTTTCACTTTGCCGCTAGTGAGAATAGGACGGGTCTAATTTACGAGAAAAGTGACTTCACTTTATACAATGAAAACCATTTGATAACAGTTAATATTACACAAGCTGCTATTGAAAGAGAGGTAGAGCAATTCTTTTACGCGTCCTCTGCTCGCGTCTATCCAATTTACACAGGCGAATATAACCGAAAACTAAAAGAATCAGACGTATGGCAATGTACGAACGGAGATCATCACGTAGATCCACAATGCCTTTATGGCTGTGAAAAATTGAACAGCGAAATTTTTTTGGAGAAATTTGTAAAAGGAAAAAACCTAAACAAAATCCCAACTGAAATCAAAATAGGAAGACTTTACAACATATTTGGAGAGGGAGATGATTGGAACGGGGAAATGGTGGAAACTCCGTCTACATTAATCCATAAAGCAATTCACTTGACTACCGAGAGTGAAAATAATGACAAGATGGAGATTTGGGGTTCTGGAAATCAGCTGCTTAGCTTTTTGTATATTGAAGATTGTGTGGATGCCATCATCAAATTAATGGAAAGTAATTATTCGAAGACACTAAATATTGGGTCCGAAGAAGCTCTTACAATAGAGGAATTAGCATACATAGCTATTGATACCGTAGGAGTTCGGCGAGACCGAGTAAAGTTAATTGTGAATGAGAAAGTATCCGTTGGTGTAGGAAATCAAAGTTCCGATAATTCGCTGATCAAAAAAGTTCTCGGATGGTCACAACAGACCTCGATCCGAAAGGGCATGGAGAGAACCTCTACGTGGATGCAAACTAAAATCAGAAAAGGGTCAATGCAAAAAAATTCATTCGCCGAAAAATTGCATCAGGACGAGATAAGACTATTATCAAAAGGAATAAAATTTGGATTATTACTTCCGATTACATCTCGTGGATTAAAAAATCCGGAGGATTGTCTTACTCATCTTCATAACTTTACTCGGAGTTTATACGAGACAACACAAGCAGATGTCGCCGGCATGAATGGGATCAAGTTTTCTTTCAAAATTTTTGTGGGGATTGATTCGGATGACGCCCTTTTTTATCCTATCAAGAATAACATAGTCGAATCTATCCTTAAGGTGCATGGAATAATAGATATTGAGACACGTGAGTTTGATTTTCCTCCGGGATCAATCTGTAAAATTTGGAATTATCTAGCGAAGGACGCGTACAATCAACAGTGTGAATATATAGTTCTTTTTGGAGATGACATCATAATTGAAAATGCCAATTGGATGTCGAAAATCCATAATAACTTTGTTAAAATTTCAGAAGAGAAAAAGGTTCCACGTGGTTTTGGATGCGTCGCTTTCACTGAAGCAACATTTCCAGGATTTCCCACCTTCCCAGTAATGTCAAAACTTCATATTGATATATTTCATGGCAATCCTTTCCCAGATATGCTTACAAACCAAGATGCTGATGTCTTTCTCTTTCAACTATATCGTCGTTGGGGATGTTCGATTATGTTGAACAATGTTAAGCTTCGAAATTTAATTGGTGGAAGCAAAAAAGGACGGTATGAAAGGATTTTTCATGATTGGAGTTTTTCGGTGCTGGATGATGCCGTACTCGAAGTTGAAAAATGGATGCACGAAAATCTTGAAAATGTAGTTCCTAGGATGCTCACATTAGACATCATTGTTCCTTCTTATCATGTTCAGATGCTGTACCTGGAACCAATAATAAATCTCAAAAAGTCCGATACAGTTTCGACCATGACAATTATTATTGTAGATGATCCAAACTCTCCGCAAATCGCTGACCTCAAAAAATATGAGTATAACGCTTTTATTCGTATTCGAGGAACAAAGGGAAATGTGGGTTTAAGCGAATCTCGTAATCAAGGGATGTCCGAATCAACTGCTGATTACATTTTATTTCTTAATGATGATGTGATACCTGATCCTGATATATTGATAGAGGCCGAAAAGGTTATTCGTAAATTCCCTATGACATGTGGATTTGTCGGCAACGTCAAATTCCCGGAATCTAATCAAAGCATTTTCAAAAATGCGGTAAAAATGTCGGGTATCCCTTGTTTTTTGAATATTTCCAGAGATATTGATAAGGATGTTCCATGGGGTGTTACTGATAACCTCATCATTCGTCGGTTAAAAGATAATATCGCATTTAATCATGGTTTTTCAAAGGTTGGATGTGTGGAGGATATTGACTATTGTTTAAGAAAGAAACGATTCTTTACACAAAATGTTAACAATGGAGAGGGATTTCGCAGTGCTTCCACGGTACAGGTCACGCGTCAATGGTGGAATAACGGAAAAAGATCATACCTTCAATTCGCAAAATTGTCTTACGGAGACGGTCAACTAATCAAGATATATCCAGAGTATGCCTATAGAGATGTACCCAACAGTGCGGAGCTTCTGTTGTTACTTTTGTTGCTTTTGATACTTCTCCTTCCGGAAACACTTATGTTCAGCATTCGAACATTAAACATGGCAACATTAACTGTCCTTTTTTCAATACCGCTGATTTTTATTGTAAACATACTTGACGAGATTAACTTTCAAATTGTACGAGAACCAGGAAACCATGTTACAGATTTGCACGGATTTAGTCGAATTCTCGCTGCATCCGAATCTTCAACTGTGAGAATGTTTAGTGAGATTGGAAGATTATTTGGACAAATATGTAGGAATGAATGGAATTATATTACTTATAGATTTGATTGGTTTGCTAATCAATTTAGTGATGAAAAGCGAAATTATGAAAGGCAACGTTCCCGAGAAAAATTCTGGACGTGGGTGATGCTGTCAACTTTGATTGCGTATTGGGTAATCAATGTATTCTGAAAGACTCCATGTGATGCGTATGTACGGTACAAGAAAAAATGCTTATTGTTAGAAACTGTTTTTCTCTTTCCTTTCTCATGCAAAATAGTTGTCTTTGATTTGAAAATAACTTGTTTATCTTTTAATTGTAATGAAGTTTCATTATCATAAAAAGTTTATATAGATATACGTAGTAGGCGCATAAAAAATAAATAAAGGATTATTTTTGTGACATTTTTAAATTTAATATATATTGGTTCTTTGATTAAATATATTTTAATAGTAAATTTTAATCAAAATAATTTAAAATTTTTAATATATAAAGTTAAATTTATTTAATAAAAGTGATGTATTTTTAATTTTTAATTTAAGTTACAATGTGTAAACAAAAAAATAACAATTTTTATTTTTTAAATATTGAATTAGAAAAAAATAAATTTGATATTGATATATTTAAAATATAATAAAATTCAAATTATATCAAAATCATTCAAATTATTCTAAACTAATCCTGATAATATGGTATATAGAAAGCTAGATACAAATTCAACTTTTAAAATGCAAATATACAATATAGATTCAATATTACTAATTAATTATTATCAGTCAATATAATCAAATTAAAAGTATAATTGCAATAAGCTATAATTGATTTGCAATTATTGTAAGGAATCGTTAATATAATAATTGTAAATACATTATTTAATAAAGATTTCATATTTAATACTTATTTGTAATAAATAAATAAATTCAAAAAAATATTACTTAAATTTATTGCTTTTATGAAATTATTAATAATTTTTGAAAATTTTTTCTTGTTTATTTTTTTTATTATTGATAATTATTAATTTATGATAATTTTATTTAAATAATTTATATTTAATACTTTTATATAAAAGTTTGTTAAAATTAATCTAATTAATACCTATAGACTATATCTGACATATAAGAATTGTAGCAAATAAGTAATTTTGCATATCCAAAAAAATCTATAAAAAATAAAAATCTATTACTAATTTAAACAATTATAATAATATAATAACGAATCAGCTACCAAAAATAATAAAATTTGTATAACAAAAATAAAAGGTTTATATAAAGATTGAATATTAATAAAATACAATATTAAATTTTATTCAAATAAATATTTTATTTCTTATAATAATTTAAAAATATTATTACAATCACTTATTCTTTTATATATTAATTTTATATTTTTATAAAACAATAGAAAAAAAAACAAAATATAAAAATATTATAAGCAAGTAAAAAATTTTAATAATTTTTATTACTACTTTTTTTTTTTTTTATCGCAAACAAGCATTAAATGTGAGACTTTATTTAAATAAAAATATTACTGTCATTACATTAACAATCTTTACATAGTAAATTAATTGTAGCCTATCGCAACAAAACTATTGGAACCAGGTA